GCTTAAAGTACAGAAAAACGCACTCAAACTCATGCAACTTTAGTCGCGGAAATATAAATTAGATTAGAACGTTATCCGTGTTGCCGTGATAAACATTCTGATAACTCAGCCTCTATTCTATCCGATTTTTTCAAACTTCAATATATTGTACAGCTTTATATATACTTTCCCATGATACTTCAGACAAATTATGCACTTGAGCTTAAAGTACAGAAAAACGCACTCAAACTCATGCAACTTTAGTCGCGGAAATATAAATTAGATTAGAACGTTATCCGTGTTGCCGTCATAAACATTCTGATAACTCAGCCTCTATCCTATCCGATTTTTTCAAAATCGCAATGGCAACATTCTGCAACGGTTGTGTATAATACCATGCATATTATCAACATTTGTATTGAGTCGTGAGCATATTTCGTCTTGACAAGTTGTAACATATACATGGCCGCAGAGCATGACGGCACGTCCAGCTAATTACTATTTATATGTAAAACTGCAATAAAATTTATATTTCCGCGTCTAACGTTGCATGAGTTTGAGTGCGTTTTTCTGTACCTTAAACTCGAGTGCATAATTTGAATGAGGTAGCATAGGAAAGTACGTATAAAATTGTACTATATGTGGAAGTTTGAAAAAATCGGACAGAATCAAAGGCTGAGTTATCAGAATGTTTATCACGGCAACACGGATAACGTTCTAATCTAATTTATATTTCCGCTACTAAAGTTGCATGAGTTTGAGTGCGTTTTTCTGTACTTTAAACTCAAGTGCATAATTTGAATGAAGCAGCATAAGAAAGTATGTATAAAATTGTACTATATGTGGAAGTTTGAAAAAATCGGACAGAATTGAGGCTGAGTTATGAGAAGGTTTATCACGGCAACCCTGATAACGCAATATATAATCTAATTATAGTAATAAAATTTATATTTCCGCGTCTAAAGTTGCATGAGTTTGAGTGCGTTTTTCTGTTCTTTAAGCTCAAGTGCATAATTTGTGTGAAGTATCATAGGAAAGTATATATAAAATTGGACAATATATGAAAATTTGAAAAAATCGGACAGAATAGAGGCTGAGTTATGAGAAGGTTTATCACGGCAACAAGGATAACGTTCTAATACAATTTATGCATGTTTCCGCGACCAAGGTTGCATGAGTTTGAGTGTGTTTATCTGTACTTTCAACTCAAGTGCAGAATTTGTGTGAAGTAGCGTGCGAAAGTACATATAATATTGTACAATTTCTGAAAGTTTGAAAAAATCGGACAGAATAGAGCCTGAGTTATGAGAAGAATAACGTTGTAATCTAATTTATATTTCCGCGACTAAAGTTGCACGAGTTTGAGTGCGTTTTTCTGTACTTTCAACTCAAGTGCATAATTTGAATGAAGTAGCATAGGAAAGTACGTATAAAATTGTACTATATGTGGAAGTTTGAAAAAATCGGACAGAATTGAAGCTGAGTTATGAGAAGGTTTATCACGGCAACCCTGATAACGCAATATATAATCTAATTATAGTAATAAAATTTATATTTCCGCGTCTAAAGTTGCATGAGTTTGAGTGCGTTTTTCTGTACTTTAAGCTCAAGTGCATAATTTGTGTGAAGTATCATAGGAAAGTACATATAAAATTGTACAATATATGAAAATTTGAAAAAATCGGACAGAATAGAGGCTGAGTTATGAGAAGGTTTATCACGGCAACACGGATAACGCTCTAATACAATTTATGCATGTTTCCGCGACTAAGGTTGCATGAGTTTGAGTGCGTTTTTCTGTACTTTCAACTCAAGTGCAGAATTTGTGTGAAGTAGCGTGCCAAAGTACATATAAGATTGTACAATATCTGAAAGTTTGAAAAAATCGGACAGAATTGAGGCCGAGTTATGAGAAGGTTTATCACAGCAACCCTGATAACGCAATATATAATCTAATTATAGTAATAAAATTTATATTTCCGCGTCTAAAGTTGCATGAGTTTGAGTGCGTTTTTCTGTACTTTAAGCTCAAGTGCATAATTTGTGTGAAGTATCATAGGAAAGTACATATAAAATTGTACAATATATGAAAATTTGAAAAAATCGGACAGAATAGAGGCTGAGTTATGAGAAGGTTTATCACGGCAACACGGATAACGTTCTAATACAATTTATGCATGTTTCCGCGACTAAGGTTGCATGAGTTTGAGTGCGTTTTTCTGTACTTTCAACTCAAGTGCAGAATTTGTGTGAAGTAGCGTGCGAAATTACATATAACATTGTACAATATCTGAAAGTTTGAAAAAATCGGACAGAATAGGGGCTGAGTTATGAGAAGTTTTAAAACGGCAACGCTGAAAACGCGCTATATAATCTAATTATAGTAAAAAAAATTATATTTCCGCGACTAAAGTTGCATGAGTTTGAGTGCGTTTTTCTGTACTTTAAGCTCAAGCGCATAATTTGTGTGAAGTATCATAGCAAAGTGTATATAAAGCTGTAGAATATGTTGAAGTTTGAAAAAATCGGACAGAATAGGGGCTGAGTTATGAGAAGTTTTAAAACGGCAACCCTGATAACGCACCATATAATGTAATTATAGTAATAAAATTTATATTTCCGCGTCTAAAGTTCCATGAGTTTGAGTGCGTTTTTCTGTATTTTAAACTCAAGTGCATAATTTGAATGAAGTAGCATAGGAACGTACGTATAAAATTGTACTATATGTGGAAGTATGAAAAAATCGGACAGAATAGAGGCTGAGTTATGAGAAGGTTTATCACGGCAACACGGATAATAGGCCGTGGGATGAGCATCCAAAAGATGCTTAGAAAACGGATTCCGTTGCACCCCTCGTGGAACTACGCAATTTTCACATGAATAAATAGATAAAAACTTACTTT